CATGTCTATGGGCATATTTATGCAATTAATCGCACATTTTAATATATCAATAAGCAGAGGAACTCCTCAATTTCATATAAAAAAACAAAGAGGTGTGTTTTGACGAAACACGGTAAGTACAAAATACCTTTTGCTTCAATCATTAGCATTTGGCAAAGAACGGCAATCTGTGAAATCCAACAGACTGTCCTGATGCCATTAGAAACAGGGAGAAGCATTGTGACATTCTTTTATTTTCTTTTCTTTTGCCATCCAGCAATTGTTCCCATATGTACTTTACCAAGGGAAAATAAACAAGATTCACACTTTTGGAAAACAGTCAATTAAAAAAAAATGCTGATTGCCTTCTGCAGATATTCCCATAGTGCCAAACTGTATGCGAAAAGATGGCAGGATAGAGGAGAAAAAGGAGGAAGAAGAGGAGTGAAGGTGTGATAATTAAAAGAATTGCCACTCTGTAAGTCGGTAGAGCTAATATGTCAACTCAGCAAGCTGGGAAAGTAGAATGTGCCCAGCTGCTAGAAAGATTCAAGTGTGGTTTGGTCCCTGGCACCACTTGTTGCGACAAAATGAATCACAAATAGTGTGAAAGTGGGTTTCCATGCTACCCTGTGCCAGATGGAGATGGTTACTTCTCTGATTGATAGCATCTTGGGCTGCAAAAGGGACTGAATGCTGCTATACTGGCAGAGCCGCTTCAGCAATCAGCCATTTCTCCTTTGGCCAATGCCATCTTGGAAAAAGATCTGAGCACAACTGGAAGAAAAGAGAATTCTAAGCAGAGAGCTGGAGAAACAAATTATTTCATTCCTAATGCAATTGAGGGGGGGGGGGTTGGTGATGAAATAATGTGATTCTGATAATAGCAGGATAATTTTGCTTACATTCAGATTGACTGAATATGGGAAGCATGTCCTGTAAATCATCTTGATTCCCAAGTACTGACCCCAGAGCACATTCAACATGGGTGTAAATGAAGATTGCCTCAATCTTTATTACATTTTCTCATCTTCACTCCCTTTCCTGCATTGCCACCAGCCAGGATCTTCAAATGAATGCTTTATCAAATATAAATTGCCAATAAAGTAGCTACAGCCTCCTGTTGGGAGTCAGACATTTGCTGGGTCCTTCTAATAGAGGACACTGAGCAAAGCTTCATTACAGAACAATGGTGGTTGCTGCCAGAGCTTACAGATTTGAATAAACAACAAATAAGCAACATCTGCTCCAGCATATGTGTATGGTGGGAAAAAAAGCCACAAAATAAAAGAATTTGCAAATGCCAAAAGCAAGACTAAACTGCCAGTGCTACTGTAGAGTGAATTTTTAATTGCACATGCATACAAGGCAGGCTGGGGGTATTAGTCTCACATATGTCTGCTTGCTGCCAACCTGGGAGTATAGATGAATTTAATTAAATAAGGATTATCTCTTCTTCCCAGTACAATTACTTATTTATAACAATGATAGAATTGCCTAATAAAAATTGTAATATTTCCTTTTAAAACACATATATTCAAACCATTACTCAAAAACAGGCTGGCATTCATTTAGGAATGTGTGTGTATGTGTGTGTGTGTGTGTGTTTGTGTGTGTGTGTGTACATCTAGTGAACACATAGGCACAACGTGGGTTACAAATAAAGATCAGGCCGTAGAATCCAGGAACACCATCAAAACACTTTTCAAAGAATATAATTGTTGATTCAAGTTTAGCTTATGTTCCAAACAACTGGTCTTTCTAGGACAGGCTCAGATGTTCTTGGATTTTTTTTTTTTTTTTTTTTTGGCCTTTTTGGTCTATTATTTATCTGCAGTGCCATTCCAGGGAAGGAGATCTCTGCAGTTTTCAGCTGTCTCATTATAATAACAGGATCCCCTTTATAGGAAAAAAATTATCTGTTAAATTTCTTCCCGCCATCTCAAAGGTCCAGAAATTCATGCAATTAAAATTTGATCCATCCATTCAATATTCATGTTACCTTATCTTTTAATCAAATTATACGGTCATCAAACTTGATAATTATATTCAAACAAATTAAAAATCAAAGCAAAAAGATCAAAAACATGTCTCTGGTCAACCATTTCCCTAATCTATTTTAGAATCTGTTATATAATTTATTATAGAAGAGGCTCAGCTAACATCCTGACTCAATTTCACTGTATCTCAAAGTATGCTTTTCCAGAGAGCAGGGGCTACAGAGTAGGTATGCCCCCATCAAAAAACAGTGTTTCATCGAGTGGACCAGAACATACCAATATGTATTCTACAATGGATCTGATAGAATAAGCAGAAATAAAGGAGGCACACTGGTGCAACAGCTTAATGGTGCTGTATCTGTCGATCAGAAATGGCTGACACTCCAACAGATGGAGTGAATTCCCATCACTTGTCTCTAGCTCCTGCCCATCCAGCAGTTTGAAAGCATGAAATATCGTGAGTAGATAATCTACTTCCTATTTCAGTAGGAAAAGCCAGCTGCAGTTGTGAGGAGAACCGGAGCCAGTGCTGGACTTGCCTGGATACAAAGCCCTGGATGAGACAATAATCCAGATACTGCTGTCTAATCTTGATGGAATCACTTCATAATCCAGCCGAGAGATATATAACAGCATTAGCATTAGGATTCTTGATCCCATACCAATATATGAATCATCCATATATTTCATATAAATGTTAAGTAAGAACTGAGAGGTTGAAGAACGGGTCCCCATCTATGGTCCTCAGCCCAGTATCCGGCCATAGCCTGTTGGCCACCGGGCCCTGGAAATAGCTAGTGAACCCTCCCCCCACTCATGGTAACATCACCATGCGGGGGCTAGCGGCCCCATTTGTGCATGCACGGGGACTCTTAAGCATCACAGTCAGCATCATACAGGCAACAGTGACCTGTTTGTGCCAGCACGTAGGCGCCAGTGCACATGCTGTAGGTGTGCGTGGCCTGCTTGTGCATGCGCACACATGCTAGTGCCCCCATCGTGCACACTCACACATTTTCCTGCTGCTCCCTTTCCTTTCGGGCTGCCAAGCTGGAAAGATTGGGGAGCTTTGTTGTACAATATGAGAAATCCTGCAGACCAAGTATCTAGGGCTAGACATCTCCTTTCCTATTAGTACTGGCTGGAAATATTCCAGAGGAAGGAGAGAACCATCAAAACATCATGGCCCATGCTCTGATATAAAAAAGATACCAGGAGAGTCAGGATGGATATAGCCCCCACATCTTGATCCTACTAGGAATCATCAACAAAATTATTCATGGTATCTCAATATAGTAACCTGGTGTGAAACCTGACTGAAAAGAGATAATCTTTTCAAATAATCCATTTCTCTAAAGTTGCAAATAAACCACTTTTTCAATAGCCTGCTCTAATTGTCCAGTGAACCCAGTGATAGTTCTTCAAAAGAAAATGGTGGAGAGCAAGTACCGCTATCTTGACTGCAACTATACATTGAAAGTCTTGACATTAGAGAGACATGGATCTAATATATAGGTATCCCCACTTGCACCCAAGAATCCTAACTACTTCATCAAGTCGGATAGGTTAGAATTCTTCCCATTGAATCAGGTCAACTCCATAAGGCCTGAACCCCAGGAATCTAACTCAACTTTATATAATAAATGTCTTGAATATTGTTCAGAATAATCCTGCACATGTTTATTTAGCCTCTGCTGTCCCACTCCCACAGGAGAGATTTGAACAAGGCTGCTGGTTTGCTATCTATATACATAGTACATGGCGGATGACTAGAATACCTACAGTAATAATACAAAGAAAAGCACAAATCCCATGTGCTTACCTGCTGAGTCAATCTAGGATAGGCATGTCAAACTCATGACATCACGTGACTTTTTCCTCATTGCCAGCAATGGGGTAGGCACGGTTTCAGTATGATGCATCCGGCCTGTGGGCCGGCAGTTTGACATGCCTGATCTAGAATAAGAATTCACAAAGTCATAGTCAAACAATCATTATTTTTGCTAAAGCATAGCACTTGATTGCACCTGGCCACAATTTGATCATAGTCAGTTACTTTAGAATAATTAATATTACATTTGATAAATGAATGTCAGTTTGTACCATCTACAAAGGAATGATGCAGCCACCATTTTAGGGCAAATAATATGTTATCTCCAAATCTTTCACAACATAGTTGATCAATCCATGCTTTACAATTGTATGCAGATTATTGCTATGCCCAACAGAGGAAAGGTACGTATTTTCTTATGTGAGAATATATCATGCAGTCATTTTGAAACCAAGACAGTGTAGCAGTTTGTATTTCATTCATGCTTGTATCTAGCAAATATTTTTAGATGTTCAACCATATTTTCTAGAAGTTGTTGAATATATCTAGAATGCACCAACTTCTAGATATAACTTCTAGGAAAGACTGAAAGGCCCCAATTTCATTTTAGGTTCCATATTATCTTTGGATTCACTTGAAACTAATGGACCACATGGTAAGATCAGATCTCAATGGATGCATAACAAAAAAATAACTCTGTTGGCATATTGCAGAGGTTAATGATGTTGATTGTAAATACCTGTGCAGATCCAACCATGAAACCTGAAGCGTCTGCATTGTCCATGAAGTAAAGTTTACTCAAATACAGTATTCTAAGCAAATAAATATGAAAAACTGCAGCTTACTAAAAGTAATAAGCAGAGAAGGAGGAGAAGGAAGAGGATTGGGGGGGGGGGGTTTCAACCAAAGTTCTTATGTCTCCAAGGCAAAGAAAATGATATTTAAGAAAAAGAAATATGGCTCTTGCATGGTTTGAATCTTGTAACACCTGGATGGGATTTCTTCAGATTCTCTCCAGATCCTCATTGGAACTTTGATTCAAGTCCTTGCTCATTCCAACTAATATCTAGCAAGAATAAAGCCTTCCATAATACTGTTATGGTGGTATACTGATGTATGGGTGCAATAGATATTTAGCTGACTAGGAAGGGGAAGAAAGACAGACTGAATTTATATTTGCTAATACCTACCTGAAATGTTTTCATGGGGATTTCCCCAGAAAGTTTCATCTTCAAAGCTCTGGATCTGAGACAAGAAAAAAGAAAGCAGCTTGGGTTTTTTTTATTATTAAACATATATTTCTTCTCTTTAACATTAGGATTTTAAGTCAAAGCAACAATAAACCTTCCAGATGTTTCTACTGTTGGTGCCTCATTTTTTAAAAATAATTTTTCATTCTAGGTTTTAGGTTGGAAGTTAGTATTCATAGCCTTTTTTCCTTTCCAAATCCAACTCCCTATTGCTGGTCAAAGTACAATGATGCCAAATGGAAATAATTCCCCATGCACTGACAGAAATGGAGCCAGGTGGGCTATTGAGAAGCAAGAAGTAAAAGCATGTTTAGAGATCTCTTACATTGGCAAAAATATTTTTTTAAAAAACCAGTTTAAACAAGGAAGACTTCTCTCAAAAACAATCGTAACAAATAAAACAGTGCTGAAAATGGGAATGATGAATATCATTGCAAAAAAAAGTGATTGCAGAGGGAGGATGTTCTGGTTCACACTGTTTGGTGCGGTGAATCGAGTTTTCCTTGATTCATACTGTGTATGATTAATAAATTTTAAAATGTCACTTTCAGAGTATAATCCAAGTTTTAGCATTCAGCAAACAGATCCAAATGTCATAGTGTTAGAAAACCTAGTTTCCCTATCCCCAGCTCCTGGATTTTTATTGCAGCTTGAAATAAATATTGATTCTCCAGTTTTTGATCAACCAGATTCATCTTTTTGTTCACCTAGTTTCTGGAGATCTAGAAAGAAAATAAAAAGGCAACTTTTTGAGCCCACCATGGGCTTTCATTGCAGCCATTCTGGTGATCATAGCATTGAGTTATATAGGTGGGTAGAAGACAAACTTTCAGCAGCTAAAATAGTGAAGTGAAGAATGCAGTTTTTAATACCTGGTATTTCTGCATTAATCAGACATTCTCTGGCAATGTCTGAAAGGGAGAAGGGTAAAATGGTCAAGACGGTAGTCATAAATATATGACATTTCACTTTTTTTTACATGTATCACATGTGATACATTTTTAAAAGGTGTGGGGCTTTGACTGTAGAGTCACAATCATTCACTTGATTTTTTCTTTTTACCATGTGCTCTTGAAGATGCCTTTGAATTGATAAAAATTCAGTGTTCAGGTCATGACACACTGTTCAAACAGTGTCACTGAGCATCACATCTATCCCCAATGACTCTTAGATCTTCCATTGGTGTACAAACTAGATCCATCCTCTAATCTGTTCTATACTTTAAGCATCTCTAAAAAGGAAATGAGCCATAATAGCTTATTTTACAGAGAATGTGATAGATTTGGAATAAAGTGTTACAAACCACCTTTTATACTCCCCTTCTGTAGAGTAACTGAGAAGCAAAACTGTGATATAATCATACTTATTTGGAATGGATATTTGCTTTAGCTTCCATTCTTTAACACAAGTATCACTATTTTCTATCTACAGAATGCCAACATATAGCATTTGGCCTTACCTCTTCCATTTCAAAGGAATCTGAAGGCTTGCAGCTGATGCCAGATAATCTCCTGAGAGTATGAGTTAAAAGCAAATTGTGCTCCTTGTGCGATCTTTCTTTATTTTCTTTACTGAGAATGTCAGACTTGGAAGGAAATTGGGGCTCTTTTAACAATAGCTGAGGCAATCCCCAAGTTTTAGTGGCTATGAATTGTGTAGATTGGGGTATAATCATACCCTCTTCCTCTTCCTCATTTGGCAACAGTTCTTTTAAAGAGATTAAGATAGCACTGTCAGATAATCCTGTCCTAGTCACCAAATGTAGATCATCATCAGCAAAGTGGTCTTCTTGGGTTTTACATATACCAGCATTTTGATAGGCTTGAGATTCATGTGTTTGCCTTGATATTTTTCTTAAGACCTGACCTATTCTTCTCTTCTTGGCCTGTGGCTTGCCTTTTGGAATATTAATTCTGGCCTTCTCTTCTCTTTTTCCTTCTTCTATTTTCTGCTGCCTGGTACTCATGTGACCCAGCAGAGAGGAACAAGCACTAGTCACGTGATCCAATATTTCCAGCTGTCGAAAGCGCCCTTAAAATTGAGAAAGATTAAATAAACTTTATTTAGTTTAATTAGGGCAAAACTTTCAAGGCTTTTAACACTAAAGAAGATTCGGGGGTGGGGGGGGAGATAACATGAGTATTTAAAATATATCCTGATCCCTGATTGGAATATAAGGGACCAAGCATGGCTAGGAAAATTGGGACCTCTGGGATAGATATTTTTTTAATGAGTGATTGGAAAAAATATTAATATTCTATGCCCTCATGCTTGCTCAGAGAAATAGAATCAGACATTTTTCAATATTATACAAATGAAATGGAAAATATCTTTAATTTGGTATCATTTCCATATGTACATGCTGTAATTTAGTTTAGTGACTTATGTCAGTATAAGTTTCTATGATCCAAGTATCTTTTACAAGATTTATTAACAAAATTTCAATGAATATTTTATTGTAATAATCCTTGGAAATCACAGAATATAAGTCAATATTCTTAGTTTCTGTGAAATAAGTTTACACACAAATAAAGAGATCAATCCTCATGGACTGACATACACATCAGTTTCATTTATGTTTTTAAAAGCTCATTCAGACTTACAAATTTAATATTCTGTGGAATGATTATGATTGTATTGGTGTTTCTTTTGAGAAAGATTCTGGGGAGGATGTAACAGAAATTGGTGAAATTCTTGATTTCTATTCTTTATTAAAAGCTGCCAAATACATTCCTTAGCACTTAGACTTATATACCACTTTACAGTGCTTTACAGCCCTCTCTAAGCAATTTACAGAGTCAGCACATTGCCCCCAACAATCTGGGTCCTCGTTTTACCGATCTTGGAAGGATGGAAGGCTGAGTCAACCTTGAGCTAGTGAGGATCGAACTCCTGGCAGTCGGCAGAATTAGCCTGCAATACTGCATTCTAACCATTTTACCACCATGGCTCCTTAATCCTGCTTTATAAAGAAGCATATATTCCAGGAATATATTCCAGGGGCCCTTATTAAAAATACTCTATCCCAAATTTCTATCCAGATATTGACACTCCAAAGTAGCTGATCTTATTTATGAAGCAGTATAAATAACTGATATGTAATAAAGAATCCTTCTGGCGCTTTCCAGTTTTTTACTATTTTATTTTGCACTGGAATTTATTCATATATTGGTTGTATTTTAGTGCACAATAGAATACTAATTTAATAGCATGATGACATTAATATCCTGGAATTTTATTCAATTAGAATAAACTTGTACGTGCATCTTCTTCATGTAGTACAGAAGTTGGAACAAGGAGCTAGATGATCAAAGGACAACTGATTAAGTTTTATAAAAGACAGGGTTAATGATATCTGCAGCAGTGGAGTTTGTGCTGCTCTTCAAATTTCAACAAAACTGATTTTTCTTCAGTGGATTAGTAACAGTTAATATGGAGAATAATGTGGATTCACATCTCAAATGTTTGTCAATGTGGCAATGCAGCAATTCAATAATAAATTCAAACCTGGAATCAGCCCATCAATTATTCACTCACTGTGTAAACTGGAAGCTTCAACTTTCATGCGTTGTCGTTGAGCTTCTATGAATACTTTAATATTGATTCCTTCAGCAATGGATGGACAACTGATGAAGCGGGAAGGAATCCTAGTGCAGATATCAGGTTCCTCAACACCAAATCCCAAAGCAAGCAAAACCTCAACAGGATCCTTTTCTGAGAAATCCAGCCATTCAACGACACTATAAGGAAAATATCAATAGAAATTATTTTGCTTGGCTGATATTCTCTGTAAATATTATGTCTATAGTCACACATGCATATACATATGAAAACAACATACACATATGGGTCAAAAATAATCTGTCTGCTACTTAATAAACTAGCTACATCCTTTTTCAGGCTTCTGAGATAGATAGATAGATAGATAGATAGATAGATAGATAGATAGATAGATAGATAGATAGATAGATAGATAGATAGATAGATAGATATAGATGTCAATGTTTTAAGGAGCTGATTTCAGTGAAACCACAGAAAAATATAGAGCTGCTTTAATGAACAGGAAAAAGGTTCCGTTCTTGCTTTTAGGCAAAATTCAAAGCACTTGTCCAAATATAATTTTCAAAGGATAGGTAGATAGTTGATGATCGCCAGACAGACAGATATACAAGTAGATAAATTGTTCATTTTTAAGTACATATCACTTATTTTACAGCTAAGTAAAGTACACAATGGCCCTCTGAGAATTTAGACAATACAACTCTGATTGGCACTAAAAAAATCTCTACTTTTTCAGAAAAGCACAAATGAGCTATAGGGACATGAACTTTTAGTTTTCCTCATTTACAGGCTCTGGTTATGTAATGGTGAAAAGATCTGTTTTAAACTTGCAACTGTCTTCCATAACAAAACAAAAAAAAAATTGAATGGATTTGTGGATCCGTTATTTCTTATAACCTTGTTTGTACCTGTGTCACCAGCTGGCTATATTGGTTCTCCTTCTATGAGCCTGATAACGGAGCCCCGCGATGGGGCTTTTTAGTATTTAAAGGCAACGCTAAAATTATTTGGATAAAATTTCAGATTAATAGATTAGCATCAACATTTAAAAAAAACATTTTGGAAGAAGGTAATGGCAAATATTTCTATATTTTTTTCTCCCAAGAAAGCTGTATTGATGGGCCTATGTGGATATCAGGAAGTGAGTTTGATCAAGAATGTCTTTATTTGCCATGCATCTTGCCATGGGACTACTCTGGACTTATAAAATGGGGAGGGGATGTAAATGTAACAATAGCAAAGGAATAAAAGAATAAAAATAAACAATGGAAGTACAATAATATGAAATTAAAGAAGATGGGTGGAGGGGCAGCAGAAAGCACGGGGGGGGGGCAAGGTCAGATAATTAATCCAGTAGCCACCTCCAGTGATATACCCTCCTATTGGCTCCCCAGGCCAACCGGCATAGCCAGGTCTTCATACCCTTGTGGATGGATAGGAGAGTGGGGGAAAACTCACCTGGGGGAGGGCAGGATATTTCTGAGAGGGCCAGTGCTACAACAGAGAAGGCTCTTTCCTGGAGCCCGTCAGTCAGAGTTTTTTGACCGATAGGATTCTCAGCAAGCCTTCTCTGCTGGCATGAGTAGGGCAGGTTTGTCTTAGTGGGATAAGATGGTTCATCAAATAATCTGGACCTATGACATGAGGGCTTTAAAAATCATAGTCAACACCTTGGCAAGTCCCATGTAAAGCGCCTTGCAGTAATTCAGGCAAGAGATGACTAGGGCTTGAGTGGCTGAATGCAGGGGGTCATGACGGATCTAGGAAAGGCTGCAGCTGGTGCACAAACTGAAGCTGGTGCAAAGGCTCTGCTAGCCACAAATTCCATCTGATCTTTTGGTTTGGCTATAACCCAATTCTAGAATCATCAGCAGAATTTTTTTAAAAAAAGCTTCTAAGATGTATGGAAATGATAAGCCCTAATTGAAATGTAATGAGAAAATACCAAGTGGTTTCATTCCTTATGCTCTCAAGACTTCTTTCATGTAACTGGTTCAGGTTTCTGGGCTGCTGGTTAGGGAAACTTGTCAATTAGATCATGGGTAATGATTTGAACTCTTATAATTAGGACTGAGCTCAGAAACTATTTTTCCTCAAATTCCCCCTTCTTGTTTTAAGGTTACTTCAAAGACATCAAAATCTGCTGCCTTTATAAACATGCCATTGGAACCATAAGAGGGTCTGATGCTTCTGCATTATATTTCTTTAATTTAGAGTCTCTCCAGACCCCTTTCTTTCAATATCTACTGCACTTCCTTCATCCTGCAATTGGATTTTATCTCTCCTACTCAGTGAATCATTTAACTTTTACTCTAGTAGCAGAAAGAGGAAGGAAGGTTTCGAAGGAAAGTATTTCTGCTTTCTCGGAGACCTGGCACATTATTATAGCTATGAGCAGTCACTGGGCTATCTGGGAAAATGTGGTTTCACCATGAAAATCAGTAGCAGTGGGGAAACTATATTTCCTAACTGTGTTTCAATTTGTTCCAATTAGCACTCTGAGAGAATCACACACATACAAAAAAAATGTTCCATTTCATCCCTCCATTCCATTAGACAACAAGGCATGCAAGGGGAAGGGATGGCAAAAAGAGAAAAATTATTTTGAATATTTCTAATCATAACTTGTACAAAATCTGATGCATTTGTCACCATAAAAAGACCACAGGGATACCTTAGAGAACATCTGCTAAAGAAAAACCAAATTGTCAATATGCACATATGTGATTTTGCCTTCCCTGGTACCCATGTGCTTGGGCCTTTCATTTATCTAGAGCTGGCTGCATGACAATGTAAAAGTTCTAAACATTAAAATTAGGCCAGCACTGACCTTTTTGGACTGAGGAGCGAATGAGGTGAGCTGGCATTATTCCATCTTGAGAGAATGGGCATTTGTGAAAAGTAATGCAGGGAACTAGAATAGGAGAAAGCAGCATGAAATTTGTTTACACTTGAAGTCCTTTGAGATGACATTATAATTTCTTTCTGGAGTAAACAGTTGCATCTTTATTTTAGTAAGAAATGATTCTTTGAAAGAGCTGTTCAGTAGCAAAGCATGTAACAACACCATGCAAGCACATTTATTCTCAGGAACAGTATGTTTCAGTAAGTGTTAGAAGGTAGGTGTTAGGTACCAATAAATGCTAATTATAAAGGTGGCAGAGCTTATTTGCTTCTGACAGATGGCATATATTTGGGATCCTATGGGAAGAAGATTTTTTTGAACCACCTACCATTTAGATAGTTATGGTTGCTTGTCACAAGGCCTGGGTAGAACACATATAAGTAACACCAGTGCTTTTTTGTAAAAAAAAAAAAAAAAGTGCCAGAACTCACATGTCATAAAACACGCTTTGCCTACCCTACAAGTTTCCATCCAAAAAAGGTGCAAGAACTCTGTTCTGGGCGTTCTATGAGAAAAAAGCCCTGAGTAACACTAGAATCAATTGTTGTATTGTCTGGAAATAACTATATTATTATATAATTATAAAAGAGTTGTTCTATGAAGTTACAAAACCGTGGGTATTCTTTTTACATTTAAACTCACAGAGGAGCCTCAGCCACCTAACTTGTTCTTAAGTCTGGAAGTTGAGATAAAAGAAAGTCCCACATGTACAGTTACTCTATTTATTTGTTTGTAGAGGTTATTACCCAGAAAGAATCAGCAACACAACACCCATCAGAGCTCCAGGAAGTGTCTGCTATAAGCAAAGAGCAGATCTGTGCTGATTAAATGAAGAGTGCATTAAACAAAAGTCATCTGGACAACATCTGCCCAAAAGAAGTATCCAGCTCTAACTCCTACTACTGAATGAGCAAGTGAAGAAAATGCAATGAAGAAAAAATAATAACCTGGCAACTGTCACTACTGTTATTCTTAAACAAACAGTGCCACATTTCTGAACACACAATCCCATCAAAATTAAAAATAGACAAGATTGCACATGAGGACACCCACATCATGTGTAAACATGCAAGTTTACAGTGATTTTGGAAAGGGCACATAAATGATTCTTTTTTATGCCACATGTCCTGCAGTGGGAACATTTATGTGTGAGCACACAGTATGGTAGCGTAAGTGCACAGGCACTCACTCATGTATGAATATTTCTGCCATGATTTCATCGGCTAGAGAGAGCAGAGTAAAAGTTGTAGAAATGGCCACCAGCCGTGTATAATCAGGAATATGTGATTATTTCTCCATGCAATTATTGTGCAGGGGCTTCTTAAGTGCAGACAAATGTTATCAGAGAGCTATACTGTACTTAGACTAATCTATATTATGTTAATGAACTTATGGATATGCATCAAGGAGGGCATTAATCACTTAACCTTCTTATAGTACTTGTTTGTATTAACATCAAATATTAATCCATATTTTAGCAAGAAAACTTTAGATTTACATTCACATACAACTCTGGCTAATTATATGCATAGCACATGAAGCTTAATACTAAGAATTTTTAATTTTTGTCACTGTGTTATTTTTCCTGCCATTCCCCCATTAAGCCATCATGAGCTTCCCTACATAATTAACTACATTTCCTTTTTGAAATTTTGAAATACAAGTGTATATTTACTATTAGATATTTTAACACAATGTGTAAACCTACCGCGTGTAGTTTTGCACAGTCATTTGTACCATGCTCAAAGGAGCTGAAAGAGCTGCAAAAAAATGTATTTCATTTTTTTATTTCTTTTTATTCTATCCACCATTCAAAAGTATAGATAATCCAGACAATTTTAAATAAAGTTGGAATATTATGGAATTATACTTTGGAAAAGGAGACACAATTGTAGTAAAAACAACTTATTCAAAGATTGAAACAATCAGAGAACTTAGAAATTCATTTTCCTGTGGTAATTTTTTTGGGTTGGGAAAAAAAATCAATTTATCTGATTATTTTTAGAGCAGGAAGTAAACCTTCACCAAACATTTGTGATACCTGCTCTAAGAAAGGTGACGATCAGTTTATGTGACGTTGGGAAAATAAAAGCAGAACTATACCTGTTGTGTCCTGAGCCTGCAAATGCAGGCTCGAGATATTGCAAGGTTCCCAGGCAATTGCAAAAGCTGCCCGGGATCAGACTGAGTGGCGCCGACCAAGAGCGCATGCGCAAGGCGCGAAAAGGGCCTAGTAATGTTGCCATCTTGTATGGAGAATGGGGATGTATAAAAGGAGGCCTGCGTGCCTTTACTTGTTGTTGGAGTTTGAAATAAGCACAATAAAGAACTGTTCCAGAAACATGTGTATTCTTCATTTGCCATCGCTCCCAGGACTTAACACTGGACTTAACACTGGCGACGAAGGTGGGATCCTTAAAAAGGAAAGCTAGAAGGAAGCTTTAAGACTTACCCAAAAGAAGTCTTGGAAGGGAAATCGGCATTAAATTCAGCAGCTATCCTGCCAGTACAGCATCGCTGGAGGGTGAGTTTAGCTGAGAGACCCTTTCTCTGCAGAAGCAAGTGGTGCCGCACGAACTACAATGGCGAAAATCGGCCGCTTGTCAGAATTCGGCATCGCACACCCGAAACAATGGGAATCATACGTTGCAAGAGTAGAGAACTATTTTAGGGTTAACCAAGTTCGTGAAGATGGGCTGAAGGTTGCCACGTTGTTGTGTGTATGCAGCCAAGAGACTTTTGAAATTGCTGAAAACCTCCTGGCTCCTGCTTCGCTGGAAGGCATGACATACACAGACTTAAAGAAACTTCTAAAAGAACATTTTCAGCCCAAGCTGTCCATCATTGCATGGAGGCACACGTTTGAACAAAGGGATCAGAGAGCAGGAGAATCTGCTAAGGACTTTATCACAGCATTGAGGAAAGACTGCATGATCGTTTTGTGTGTGGACTGAGAAATAGAGACTTACAGCAAAAGATCTTCATGAAAAAAGACATTTCATTCCAAGATGCCCTACGAGAAGTTACAGCAGAGGAAGCAGCAGGCGGAGCACTAAAAAACATGCGGCCCACCAGAAGCCCTCCAGAGACTGTTGCTGTTCACCAGGAGAATGTGCAAGAAGATTCGGAAGAGGTTCCTGAAGATGAGGTGAATAAGCTCCACCAGGCAGCCGGAAGGAGACAGAGAGATTGCACAGAGAATGCTTCAATAACTTCACAATGCTTCGGATGCGGAGGACGCCACAGAAGAGCAGACTGCCGGTTCCGGTTCACCATTTGCAGGCCTGTGGAAGGCAAGGCCACGTTGCAGTCGTATGTCTGAGTTGCCAGAAGGTACAACCTAAAGAAGAATTGCATCTGAAAGGTACCAGGGTCCCCAGCCAAAATAGGGTGGGTTTCTGCGCAATACGCAGAACTATTCTGAGGACAGGCACACATAAACCCTAAAAAAGAAGTTGTCCCTTAAAGTAAAGTTACAAGGGGTTTCCTTATCCATGGAATTGGACACTGGTTCCACGCTTTCCATCATTTCCCTCAACACTTTCAGGAAGATTTGCAGCAGCAGTGGCTGTCGAGTGAAACTCAGGCCATCCACTGTGATACTTACAGACTTTCAGAATTCTAAGGTGTGTGTTAAGGGGGAGGCCACTCTTAAGGTACAGTACAAGGATTTTGAGGGTTCTTTAGATGTGTTGGTTGCTGGGGGTGAACGTGCGAGTCTTATTGGACTCGATTAGTTTGGGAACCAATCAGTTCACGGGGTTGCACCATTTGCAAATGTCTAGCCTTGCAGAAGTCTGCAGGGAATTTGCAGATGTGTTCAGCTCTGAGCTTGGAACCTACAAGGGGCCTCCAGTCTCACTACGATTAGATCCATCCATAGCACCCATTAGGGTCAAGCCTAGGAGAGTTCCGTTTGCACTTAAAAACAAGATTGATGCTGAACTGGACAAATTGCCTGTAGATTCGAGTCCTTGGGAAACCCCCATAGTAATGCCTTTAAAGGTTAATGGGAACATTTGTATTTGTGCAGACTACAAGTGCACACTAAACAAGGCACTACACCAACACACTTATCCAGTACCTGTAGTAAGTCATATTCTGGCTTCCCTAAAAGGGGGGGGTGGATTTTTGTGAAGCTTGACCTGGCACAGGCTTATCAACAGTTGCCTGTTGATGAGGCAGCTGCTGAGGCTCAGATGATTGTGACTCATAGAAGAGCTTTTAAAGTGAAGAGATTGCAATTTGGGGTAAATGTAGCCCCAGGCATTTTCCAGAGTATTATGGAGAACACACTGAGGGGTATTCCAGGAGTCTGTCCATATTTTGATGATGTCGTCATTGCAGGAGAATCACCTCAAATCTTGGCTGAGAGATTAAGGGCTGTCTTGCTTCGTTTTAGGGAAGCAGGTCTCAAGTTAAAAAGGGACAAGTGTAAGATAGGAGTCAATTCTACTGACTTTTTGGGATTCAGGATAGATGCTCAAGGTATCCACCCTTCTGAAGCTAAATTAAAAGCCATTTAGCAGGCCCCAGGCCCTAAGTCAAAAAGGGAGCTACAAGCCTTTTTGGGGCTACTAAATTTTTACCATGCCTTTCTGCCAAACAAAGCTGCTATAGCTGAGCCACTGCGCAGGCTCTTAGACAAACAAGTCTTTTGGCAGTGGACTAAGGTCCATGAAAAAAAGTTTCAGTGAAGTTAAGGCCTTGCTTACTTCTAATGCTGTACTGGCTCACTTCAATAAGCAGTTGCCTGTTTGCATTGCCTGAGATGCTTCCCCATATGGAGTGGGGGCAGTTCTTAGCCATCTGTTGGCTGATGAGACACAGGTCCCTGTAGCGTATTACTCCAGAACCTTGTCTTCTGCTGAGCGGAACTACACTCTACTGAGCGGAACTACGCTCAGATTGATAGGAAGGAGCTAGCCATTGTGGCTGGCATTAAAAAGTTTCATGATTTCATAGATGGCTGCCATTTCATGGTCTACACTGACCATAAGCCTCTGCTAGGGTTGTTCACCACAACCAAACAGACCCCACATATTCTTTCTCCTCGTATGCTGCGTTGGTCCATTTTCCTGTCAGCATATGACTACTCTTTAATTCACAAGTCTGGAAAGGAAATGGGTCATGCTGATGCTCTGAGTAGATTACCCCTTCCAACACTGGAGCCTGATCTTGCTCCAGCCATTAATATTCTGTCCATTCAGGAGCTGCCTGAGCTGCAAGGGATGTGGCTGCTGAAACTGCCACTGACCACACGTTCACACTCGTTCTATCATGGGTGTTGTCAGGATGGCCTGACAAATGCCCTGATACTGAGTTTCAGAGTTTCTGGCAAAGAAGACATGAGTTGTCCACTTTCAAGGCTTGCCTGCTATGGGGAAGTAGGGTAGTAATCCCTACCTCACTGAAGACTAGAATGCTGCATTCTTTACATGAGGGACACCCTGGTATAGTCAGGATGAAGGCACTTGCGCACAGCCATTTGTGGTGGCCTGGCCTCAATAAAGCCATTGAGGCTCAAGTGCATGGGTGCCATGTGTGCCAACAGTCCCAGCCTGAAATGACTCAGGCCCCAGTTCATAGATGGGAGGAACTCACACCCCATAGTCCAGGGTACATATAGATTACACTGGGCCCTTTCAAGGGCAATTCTTCTTGGCTGTTGTTGATAGCCATTCTAATTGGCTAGAGGTTGTTCCTGTCTCCTCCACTATTGCTGCTAAGACTATCCAGGTGCTGAGAAGTATTTTTGCAACTCATGGCCTTCCAGATGTTCTCGTTTCAGACAATGGTCCTCAATTCACCTCTTCTGAGTTCCAGGTTTTCCTCCAGGCCAACATGATCCGCCATGCAACTTCTGTTCCTTCCCACCCATCCACCAACGGAATGGCTGAACGTATGGTGCACACCACCAAGGATGCCCTTAAGAGATTGACTTATGGTGACTTGTGTCACAGGTTAGCAGACTTTTTTCTTGCACATTGCACCACACCTTGTACTGCCACTGGAAAAAGCCTGACTGAACTTCGTTGGGGTCACCGGCTCATTACCAAGCTGGACAGACTGCACCCTGACCAGGTGGTGTCTCAAGGGTCGCATCCACAGCCACCAAGGTGTCTGTAAGTGGGCGCTCCTGTTTGGACCAGAAACTATGGGCCTGGTCATCTCTGGGTACCAGCTGTGGTCTGCAAGGACTCGGGGCCCTTGTCCTATGAAGTGTCCCTGGAAGACAGCCGTGTTTTTCGGCGGCACATAGATCAGCTACGTACAAGGCTGGAGTCTCACCCTTCTGCTCCTGGCTCTGGAAGGAAGGTTATAGAATACATTCTGAGAATCAATGTCAGCAGCCAGTGCTGGCAGCTGAGGAGATCGTTGATCCCCCATCCCGAGATTCTGCAAACAAGAATTCATGGGGCAGAGAACTACCCTACACACCAAGACACACTCCAGGCAGGGAGTCACCCCGGGGGCATCCACATATCCCATACAGAAACTGTAACACTCCAGACAGGGAGAATAACCAGGGGTATTCACAGAACTCATAGAACATGCAAGAACTGGCAACCCAGCTAAGAAGCAGGTTCAATTCTGCAACTGCTTCCAAAAGGAGGTCCTACGTAAGGGGGGCAAGCAGAGAGGCCTCTCCTGACTCTGGCACCACAGGCATGACCATGGGGTCTGCCGAATACTGTGGCCCCTTACCCACACCTGTTTCACAGCGCACGTCTGTAAACGGTCGCTAGCCCATGGACATAGGTTCTCAGGAACCATCCAGAGTAGTTCTGGAATTCTCAGCCAACTCAGAAAGTTGGGAGAGTGCAGCTGCTCTCACTGAGCTTGGGGGAAACTGGCATTTCTGCCAGTACGCTCTACCAGGAGTCACCTGCAAAACCTGTGCATAAAAGTCCTGGTCTAGTGAGCCCATCAGGCGGGCCGGTAGGCCAGGTGCCCTTAAGGTCAGGTCCTGGTCTGTCCAGTCAAGCAGAGGAGCTGTCAGGCCAGGCACCCTCCCTCATCCCGCGAAGGTCCCAATGGGTTAAGGCCCCTCCTAAACACCTAGATGAGTATGTAAGGTTCTTATCAGCATAAGAACAGTACAAGTCTATAGTGAGGAGATGGAACCTATGTGGGTAGCAACAGAACCCGCGAAGTACACATTAGAGAGTGGCAACAAGTTGTAGCAGAATAGAGTGTCTGTAGGATGGAAAGAAATTTATTATTATTTTATATTTTGTATGGATTGTAAGAACAAGTACCATATGTGTTCTAGCTAAGGGGAGAGGGGTGTTGTGTCCTGAGCCTGCAAATGCAGGCTTGGGACATTGCAAGGTTCCCGGGCAATTGCAAAAGCTGCCCAGGACCAGACTGAGTGGCACCGACCAAGCATGCATGCGCAAGGCGCGAAAAGGGCCTAGTAATGTTGCCATCTTGTATAAAAGGAGGCCTGCGTGCCTTTGCTCATTGTTGGAGTTTGAAATAAGCACAATAAAGAACTGTTCCAGAAACATGTGTATTCTTCATTCGCCATCGCTCCCAGGACTTAACAATACCCTTTCCTCATAGGCCACTTTTCTGGTTATTTCTTCAAAAAGGGTATAATAAGAGCTGTCACCCAGCTTTTATTATACCCTAAACCAGTCTACTTCATCCAAAATCCTCATGGAGAACTCTGACCTTTTGTCAGTGTTGAACTGGTGCTACTTCAGGCGACAGCTGGCTATACTTAATCTTGGGAAGAAAAATGACTGGGCTTATCCTGACTGACATTCCTTAATGGTGGAAAAGTAAGCATCTTAGAAATGTGACCTTGCTGCCAGGGTTATACTTTGGATAGTAAATATACTTCACAATTTTTCCACTAGATTTCGTTCAATTTGGTAAAAGTGAAATTGCTTTTGAAATTCTATTGGTAGAATGTGTTCTGTACATTTTTTTAGCTATAAGGTGGCCACAAAGACTTCTTCACAAGGTTGCAAAACTAATATAATATGCATAAAATGTCATGATACAAGTTCCACCCTTTTGTTATTTTATTGCAATATTATACACAAGTATGTAAGGGGCTAATTTTCATCACAACATTGTGAAACATGTTTCATCATTTCCCTCCTTCTGCTGTTATTAGTATATAGAATGTTCTATCTTTCATTGTAGAATAATTGTGCAAATAGCTGCTGGCTTCTAATGCTTCCATTTCCACTTCCAAAGGAAATGGCCAGGAGAGAATTCCTCCCACAGGACCCTATAAATACTACCAAAGTGTTAGTCATGGCTAAAGGAAAGAATAAAGAGAAGTCTCTTCTTCAAATTTTCTGACATAATTTCTCCTTCGCTTGTTTTGAGGCCTGTTTATTACTGAAGCAACGTTAAACTGATTTGAGAGATTCTGTTCTAACTTTTCTTCTAACTGCTTCAAAATGACCAGGATGAAAACTCCAAAATGAAACTGGGTTAGATGGAACTCAGATGTTAGATGGAACTCAGATCCTTTCTCTAAAGTAAGTAATGTACAACAAAATATACATCTATTTTCTGCTCAGGAAATAACTTGTTGGAAGGGGAAACCTCACTACAGAAAACCTCACTACAGAAATTTCTGAGGAACACAGATGAAAACACAGATGAAAACCGTGAACTATGTAATGCAAAAAAAATAAATAAATATGAACACCTAGTAGGCCAAATGGTTTCAGTATGATCTCCTTGTTATGAAGAAGTTGACTTTACAAACAAGAATCAAATATTCCATCTTATTATGGAATATTATTAGGCAAGAGTAACTTAAAGTCCAACTAGCAATTTTCAGTTACTTAATATATTTTCATAGCAATCATAGCCATCTAAAGGTTATCATTTGAAGTATAAAACTGTGTTTTAAATTAATACCAAATTTCAAGAACAGATTTTCTGAGGAGAAAATGAACAATGAAGACATTTTAAAGAAAAAATAACAGCAGCAACAACAACAACAATAAAAATTATAAATCAGAAATAAATCTTGTCGGACAATCAACTTACAACTTTGTCTGAACTTATTTCTGATCTACAGTATTTTTAAATATATATATTAATAAATGATTGTTATTATTAAATAAATGATATACGGATTGTTTTCCCCCATTGATCTACTCTATGCATCCTTCTTATATCAGCTTATTCCCAATAATACAATTCAATTATACAATTACCTTCTGTTTTATCTTGGCTTTCTTGTATTGTTTTATTTGCTGCTAAGCTGTTGAAATAAGGGTAGCAAAAGATATGATATTGTTCCAGAGAAAAACGTGAATAACCAGGACAACCATAAATTTAGTTACAAATCAAATTTAACCAAGACTCCTTCAAACCAAGAAACTTCTCAAATGGAAAAGATAGTTTAGATGTGTACACACTAATATGATATACTTTTCTCTTATCTTATTTTACCATTCCTGTACCTAGATAATATTCTGAAATATTTTTACTATCCAGGAAGCACATTAATAAAAGTTTAATTAAAAATAAATGTTGTGAGTTATTGAAAATAAAAAAGACTTCAAAATGTTGATACTTGACACTGGTTTTGTTCTTTACTAGTCTTTCACTTCCATATGCTTCATCCCTCCCCCACTTTTCACAAACCTTAATTAGTTAAGCTCTATAAATATTTTGAAAGAATGATTTAGAACACATAGGAGAACTTCCATAATAGGACAGAATTATCAAATTTAACCTCAAGGCTCACCTTCCTCCACTTCCAAAGGAGGTTCTTCCTTTTGGATGAGTGGATTCTGGCAGTGAACCATCAGATGTACTCAGAATGAAGTAGCCTCCTATTGAGAGGGACAACAAGCTGGCACTCAGTGTGATATCTCATACTAGGAAAAAGCTCAGGAAAAATCATTCACAGAAAAGAGGGAAAATGAGGCTAAGTCAAATCAGTATTGATACTTGTTGTGTCCTGAGCCTGCTGAAGTATTCAGCAGGTTCAGAAATGTTGCAAATGGTCCCGGGCAGACCAAAAGCATGCACAAGGTACGAAAACAGCCAGTTCCTATTGGTTAACAGTGTCTGGGTTCAGGGCCCTATAAAAGGCCTGCGTGCCTTTTACTGCTTGCTTGGTTGTAGGAGAAGAGTAATAAAGAGCTTGTTGTTTTATCATGTGTCTTCATCAATTGCCAATGAACGGGAAACACAACAGTGGTGATGAGGATGGGATCCCTGCAAGCAAAAGGAACAAATAAGACTCACTGAGAAAATTGAAGACGGAAGACAGCATCCTGCATTTGCGACTCAGTCTGCCAGTACAGCATCACTGGAGGTGAGCTGGGCAAAAAGGACTCTTTCCCAAAAAAATTTACTCCCAAAGAGGAGGTAATTAGCAAAGGCCGTAAAAGTTTACAATGTCAAAAATTGGCCGCTTGACTGACTTTGATGTCTCCTACCCGGAGAGATGGAATTCATACGTAGCAAGGGTGGAGAATTACTTTAGAGTAAATCAAATCAGGAAAGATGGCCTGAAGGCGGCAACTCTTCTGTGTGCCTGTGGCCAGGAAGCTTTTGACATTGCGGAAAATCTGGTGGCCCCTGCACTTCTGGAGTCAGTAACATATGCTGACTTGAAGAAGATGCTGAAGGAACATTTCCAGCCTAAATTGTCTGTCATAGCTTGGAGGCATGCATTCGAGCAGAGAGACCAGAGGCCGGGTGAATCTGCTATGGATTTATTGCTGCCTTAAGACAAGTGGCCGGGCCTTGTGAGTTCAAGGACCTGGAAGAGAGGCTGCAAGATCGCTTCGTGTGTGACCTGCAACAGAAGATCTTTGCGAAAGAAGAGGTGTCATTCCAGCCGAGGTGGCGCAGCAGTTAGAGTGCAGTACTGCAGGCCACTTTAGCTGACTGTGTTCAGCAGGTCAGCGGTTCAAATCTCACCGGCTCAAGGTTGACTCAGCCTTCCATCCTTCCGGGGTAGGTAAAATGAGGACCCAGATTGTTGGGGGCAATGTAAATATATATATATATACATTGCTTACTGGTGTACACCGCTTAGAGAGTGCTTGCACTTAAAGCGGTATATAAGTCTCATAAATAAATAAATAAATAAATATGCCTTAAGAGAGATTGCAGCTGAGGAAGCAGCAGGTGGCGCTGTGAAGGCTTTGCAGCTCTCCAGGAACCCTCCAGCCACGGTGACCATCCATCAAGAGGATGCTCGAGAAGATTCAGAAGCGGACCCTGAAGAGGAGGTGGACAGACTTTACCAGCCAGCAGGAAGAAGGCCGAAGGGGCATCCAGACAAGGCCCCAACATCTCTTCAATGCTTCTGGTGTGGAAGACGCCACAAGCAAGCTAACAAGGCCACATTGCCTCCATCTGTTTGGGTCACCAGAAGGTCCAACCTCGGGAAGAATTGCTTCACAAAGGTACCCGGGTCCCCAGCCAACTCAGGGTGGGTTTCTGTGCATCGCACAGGAGTATTCTGAGGACAGAGACACACAAGCCCTTAAGAAAAAATTTCGTATTGATGTGAAGTTGCAAGGGGTTCCTTTATTGATGGAGCTGGACACAGGGTCCGCTCTATCAATCATTTCACTTGACACCTTCAAAAGGATTTGCAGCAGTAGTGGCCTTTGAGTTAAATTCAGGCCATCGAATTTAATACTCACTGACTTTCAGAATTCCAAAGTCAGTGTGAAGGGGGAGATCATGCTCAAAGTGCAGCATAAGGATTTTGAGGGTTTCTTGGATGTGGTGGTAGTTGGGGGTGAATGCACGAGTCTTATTGGACTCGATTGGTTTGAGGCTCTGGCAATCCAAGTGACTGGACTTCACACCTTGCAAACGTTGGGCTTTGCAGAAGTCTGCAAGGAGTTTGCTGATGTGTTTAGTTCAGAGCTAGAATCCTACAAGGGGCCTCCCATTGCATTACGTTTAGACCCAACTATCACGCTCATCAGGGTCAAGCCTAGAAGGGTGCCTTTTGCCCTCAAAAGCAAGATAGATGCAGAGCTGGACAAATTGCTCCATCAGGCATCTTAGAACCTGTGGACTCTAGTCCATGGGAAACCCCATAGTAACGCCTCTAAAGGCTAATGGAGAAGTGCGCAGATTATAAGTGCACATTGAATAAAGCGTTGCAACAGCATGCATATCCAGTGCCTGTTGTAAGCCACATTCTGGCCTCCCTCAAAGGGGGGGCCACGTCTTTTTGTGAAACTTGATTTGGAACAGGCCTATCAACAGCTACCTGTTGATGAGGCAACTGCAGAGGCCCAGACAATTGTAACACACAGGGAGGCCTTTAAGGTTAAAAGACTGCAATTTGGGGTTAACGTAGCCCATGGCATATTCCAAAGTGACATGGAATGCACACTTCATGGTATTCCTGGGGTCTGTCCCTACTTTGATGACGTCCTCATTTTGAGTCATCTCAAAATCTAGCAGAAAGGTTAAGGGTTGTCTTGCTTCGTTTCCACAAAGCAGGCCTTAAATTGAAGCAGGATAAATGCAAAATAGGAGTCACTTCCACTGACTTCTTAGGGTTCAGGATTGATGCCCAGGGCATTCACCCTGCTGAATCCAAGCTTCAAGCGATTCAGCAGGCCCCAAGCCCCAAGTCCAAGAGTGAGCTGCAAGCTTTCTTGGGGCACTTAAATTTCTATCACGCATTTCTCCCACATAAGGCTGCAGTGGCAGAGCTGTTACACAGGCTCTTAGATAAGCAGGCTCCATGGCAGTGGACTAAAGTCCATGAAAGGAGTTTCAGTGAGGTTAAGGCTTTGCTTTCTTCAAATGCTGTGTTAGTGCATTTCAATGAGCAACTGCTTGTATGCATCGCATGCAATGCATCTCCTTATGGGGTGGGAACAGTACTTAGTCACCTGAAGGCTGATGGGACACAGGTCCCTGTAGCATATTATTCAAGGACTCTGTCATCTGCAGAGTGGAATTATGCTCAGATTGACAGAGAAGCCTTGGCCATAGTGGCTGGCATAAAGAAATTCCATGATTTCTTATATGGCTGCCATTTTACAGCCTATACAAACCATAAGCCTCTGCTGGGTTTGTTTACAACTAACAAACAGACACCACACATTATTTCTCCTCATATGCTGAGATGGCCAATTTTCCTGTCAGCATATGATTATATACTCATTCATAAACCTGGAAAAAAGATGGGCCATGCAGACGGCCTCAGCAGATTACCTCTCAAACAAATAGAGGCAGCTCCTGCTCCTGCTATTAACATTCTCTCCATTCAGGAGTTGCCTGAATCTCTCCTCAATTCTAGGGACATGGCTGCAGAAACTGCCACTGATCACACGCTCATATCCGTGCTGACCTGGGTGTTGTCAGGATGGCCTGACACGTGTCCAGATACAGAGTTTCAAAGCTTCTGGCAAAGGAAGCATGAACTTTCCACTTTCAAGAGGTGCCTGTTATGGGGTAGTAGGGTCCCAGCCTCATTGAGGTCCAGAATCTTGCTCTCTCTGCATGAGGGACATCCAGGTATAGTAAGGATGAAAGCGCAGCCATCTCTGGTGGCCTGGGCTCGATAAAGCCATCGAGGCACAGGTGCACGGGTGCTAAGTATGCCAGCAGTCAAGGCCTGAAATGCTTCAGGCCCCAGTACATAGTGGGAGGAAACTCAAACCCCGTGGTCAAGGGTACATATAGATTATGCTGGGCCCTTTCAGGGGCAATTCTTCCTTCCCCTCGTTGATAGCCATTCCAAGTGGCTAGAGGTTGTTCCTGTTTCCTCCACTACTACTGCCAGGACAATCCAGGTGTTGAGAGGAATTTTCACCTCACATGGATTTCCAGATGTCCTGGTTTCAGATAACGGCCCTCAATTTGCCTCTTTTGAGTTCCAGACCTTTCTTCAGGCCAACTTGATCCGGCATGCGACTTCTGCTCTCTTCCATCCATCGTCCAACGGACAAGCTGAGAGGATGGTGTGCACTACCAAAGATGCTCTCAAGAAACTGACTTACAGTAACTGGCATCACAGGTTAGCAGATTTCCTTCTTGCACACAGCACCACACCTTGCACAGCCATAGGGAAGAGCCCTGCAGAACTCTGCTGGGGTCACTGCCTCATCAGCAAACTGGACAGACTGCACCCAGACTGGGTGGCTTCACAGGTGTCACAACTGCAGGCACCTAGGAGACTTCAGGTGGGCGATCTGGTCTGGGCAAAGAACTATGGATCTGGACATCTCTGGGTTACAGCAATGGTATGCAAGGTTTCTGGGCCGCTGTCATACAAAGTAGCCTTGGAGGATGGACGTGTTCTTCGCAGACACTTAGATCAACTGCACTGGAGGCTTCACAGCCACATTTCCACTCCTGGGTTTGCTCTGGGGAGGGGCTGGAGGACCATAATATGCATTCTGGGTCATAGGTTCCCAGGCCTAACAGGGCCTCACAAGTTGCTGAGGCTGTTTGGGGGTCATCCCAAGTTTCCACAAGTGTGCCGAACACGAATTCCCAGGAAAGGGGGTCACCCCGCACATCCGTTATTGCTCCAGACACGGAGTCACACTGGGGGTATTCACACAATTCAAACACAGCCCCAGACAGGGAATTCCATCAGGGGCACTCTCACAGTTCAGCTATTGCTCCGAAAAGGAAGTCTGTAGCAAAGGGGGTTGCCATGGTGGCGGCTTCTGACTCTGGCACCTCTGGCATGTGCACGGGGGCTACAGAGTACTGGGGCATTTCTGCCACTCAGGCCTCTCCAACTGCTGGCTTTGGGCTTGAGGGACAGTGTTCCCATGAGGAGTCCATTGTGGACTCGGGGACTTCCACCCCTCCAAGATACACTGGCTTGGACTCAGAGGGCCCAGCCAGTCAGCAGCTGGGTGGGTCACCTGGGTATTTGGTCAACAAATTCCAGGCCTGCCTAGCCTGGCAGGTGAGCAGGTAGGTCAGGCACATTCACTGGCCATTAGAAGGTCACAGCAGGCCAAGTGCCCACCCAAACATCTGGGAGATTATGTGAGGTTTCTGTCAATAGAAGGGAATCTTGTTAGCCTGTGACAGGATGTTGGATAACACTCAGTACAGAGTGTCATATACTATTATGATTTTGGGGTACATTTTGTTTAGTTAAATAATTATTTTTGTCAAAGTATTTTGCCTGTGTGCAGGTCAGTGTAACTCCACTCTCTTGCTCTTTTGAAGTATTCAGCAGGCTCAGAAATGTTGCAAATGGTCCCGGGCAGACCAAAAGCTGCCCAGGACCAGACTGGCTGTCGGCAGCCTTGTGCGCATACACAAGTCGCAAAAACAGCAAGTTCCTATTGGTTAACATTGTCTGGGTTCAGGGCCCTATAAAAGGCCTGCGTGCCTTTTACTGCTTGCTTGGTTGTAGGAGAAGAGTAATAAAGAGCTTGTTGTTTCATCATGTGTCTTTGTCAATTGCCAATGAACAGGAAACACAACAATACTGATGGTCACTTTGGCAGCTTTGACTCAGGAAAGTTGCTGCAACTGCAAAGCCATTGAAGAAGCGCCTAGAACCTGGATCCAGCAGCAGAAATTTCAGGCAGAGTAAGAGTGAATGTGATTCATTCAAATTTACTTATCATTCTACTGGGGATCAGAACCCACAAAATGTAAACCTCTGTACTAACTGATTGATTTTGCATATTAATTACAGCAACATTCTTGCTAAGGATGCATATTAAATATTCTAGTAATTGAGGCACAGTATTCATACATATATTCTTGTAGATAAAACTTTGTTAAAAAAATACTTATCCAATGGAGAATTGCTCATACATACTAGAAGTCAGAATCCATCCTGTTGTAGAGATTTTCCTCCTTGTGGCCCACTAAATTTGACAAAGTATCATATTATTTATTTGTCTGTCCTAAACTTCTTTCAAGGAGTTCAAAGCTAAACATGTGATTTTTTTTCACTTCTCTGTTATTATTATAATGAAATCATAACAAAATAATGTAGATTGTGAGACAGATAATATATCTCACTTAACCTCTACTTCAGTAACTATCTAGACAAATGCAGAGTTGTAATGGTGCATAAGAAATTTAACATTAAATTAACATGTTACTATGTAATAGTAAATCTTCACATTGTCTTTTTCTGTTCTTCAAAAGACAACTGGGATTTCAGTCCATGGATCTATGAACCAAGTAACAACTATGGTTCCTAATATATATATCATAAATAGTATATACTACAAATACTATAAAAAATCTTTAATTTAGTTTTATTTATTCATTTGCATCCCACATTTTTGCAAATAAGTTAAATGGCAAATGTATGCAACACACCTTCCTCCTCCTAATTTCCCCACAACAACCCTATGAAATGAGATATCAAGGTCAAAACACTGATATTAATATCAAAATATTACATCAAATTATTCATCTTTATATCTTATTTCAATGACTTTTAGATAATATCTAGAATACATCCTGGAACTTTTGATCCAAATTAAAGCATTCTTCTTCCTTACTGAAATAGATAATATATGTAAACAGTGTGATGACTAGCACATTCTAAATCTTTTCTCTCCCTTCTATATTTAGTCATATGAAAAGTGTGGAAAAATTAGCTTTATATAATTTCATCCTCTAATAGTCTTGCATGGTAGGTTAGACTGAAAGAGAATGATTTTGTGAAATTATCAAAAGACATTTAGGACTGTGCAGAACTTCAGTGGGATCTCCCTGTTTCTGCCAATGCTGTCCATTTAAAATAATAATCTTAAGTTTTATTTACTCATGTGTAGACAATACTGTACGTACTCCTGTCTTAGGTACAAAGCCATCTTGGTGTCCCAGGAAGCAGGCAATGGCAAATCTTGCCATGAAAATGGCAGGGATTTATCCAGACAGAAGCCAAGACTCACTCCAAGGCATCCTCTCACAAAAAAGAATATTCCAAAATGGCACCTCTGTAGTGTGAAGGTATCAATTTTCCCCACAGACAATCCAATACACGGGGAAATACTGATGAGAAACAAAGTGGTAGTTTTGCTACATGGCACAGTACTTATGATCTTATTCAAGAAGGACAAGAAAAGGCTATATTGAGCAAGTTCTTATGTCAAGCTACTTTAATATCTCGAGAATTCCTTACCAAGTTGCAGAGCAGAAGAAGTGTGGTCTACTGCTATTTGTGGAGTTGGAAAATCATCATCTAATTTTGTCCATGACAATTTGGTCGATAAGAAGAGTTCTCTCTTCTCTTTTTGAGTATTTTTAGTTTCATTATGATGGAATTCTGATGACAACTCAGTATATGAATCTGAAGACTTGTAAAAATAAACAAGATCATTTTATGTAATAGTAACTGAACATTATTATATAGGCTAAATAACATTCATGGCTATGGGATCTATTTTACTATTTTTAGTAAAAACAAATAAGGTCTTTGCTAGATATCACAGTGGTTCTTTTTGGGGGGGGGGTATAGATCACATAATAGATGCTTGCATTACATCCAGACAAGTAATAACCCTCTCTATTCTTTTTTTTATGCATAATGCTACATAATTTGGTAGATGGTCTCATTATATAGCCTGTGCTAACTGCAAAGTTATTTCTAAAACATAGCCATATTTAAACAATAGACGCACTAAAATGAATGGGACATTGTAATTTTGATTATAACCCTTGCATTGATTATTTACTGATATTTTTTGCCTACATCTTTAGTTTTGCTTTATCTTTTGTTGCTATCTTTCTCCATAAACTAGCTTTATTTGTTCCTTTGCTTTTTTATATAAGTCTCTTATATAATAAAAAGATGTACACAACTACCAATCTAATATGCCATTAACCTGGGCAACTTGCAAAGCAACAATAAAAATAATAAAGACTAAAAAGCCACAGCAAAGTCTCTGGTGCCTCAATAGCAAATGTTCCTCCATACATCCATATTTGATTCAGCATCACCTTACTTCCTCCTTCATGGATTACTGCCTTGTCGTGGTGAAGGGGCTTACGTAACTCAATGAAGCTATGAGCTATGCTGTGCAGGGCCACCCAAGACGGACAGGTCATAGCAAAGAGTTTTGACAAAATGTGATCACTGGAGAAGGAAATGGCAACCCACTCCAGTATCTTTGCCATGAAAACCCTGTGGACAGTACCAAAAGGCAAAAAGTTATGACGCTGGAAGATGAGCCCCTCAGGTCGGAAGGTGTCCAATATGCTACTGGGGAAGAGAAGAGGGCTAACACTAGTAGCGCCAGAAAGAGTGAAGTGACTGGGCCAAAGCCAAAAGGATGCTCAGCTGTGGATGCATCTAGTGGTGAAAGTAAAGTCCAACGCTGTAAAGATCTTTTCTCCATAAGAATCTGGAATGTAAGATCCATGAATCAAGGCAAGCTAGACCTGGTCAAACAAGAGATGACAAGACTTAACATCGACATCTTAAGAATCAGTGGACTAAAATGGACAGGAATGGGTGAATTTAACTCAGATGACCACCAGGTATACTATTGTGGGCAAGAATCCCTCAGAAGAAATGGAGTAGCCTTCATAGTCAATAAAAGAGTAGGAAAAGCAATACTGGGATACAATCCCCAAAATGACAGGATGATCTCAGTTTGAATCCAAGGCAAACCATTCAATATCACAGTAGTCCAAGTCTATGCCCCGACCACTGGTGCTGAAGAGGATGAAATTGACCGGTTCTATGAAGCCCTATAGCACTTATAGAATCAACACCAAAAAATGATGTCCTTATCATCGTGGGGGATGTACAAAATGAAACAGGGCACAGGCTGATAGAATTTTGTCAAGAGGATACGATGGTCATAGCAAACACTCTTTTCCAACAAAGAGATGGCTCTACACATGGACATCACCAGACGGTCAACACAGAAATCAGATTGACTATGTGCTCTGCAGCCAAAGATGGAGAAGCTGGAGGTGGCAAAACTACACAGAAGAACTGTATAAGAATGAGCTTAACATCCCAGATAACCACGATGGGGTGGTCACTGACCTCAAGCCAGACATCCTAGAATGTAAAGTGAAATGGGCCTTAGGAAATCTGAGCAATAACAAAGCTATTCCAGCTGATCTATTCAAAATCTTAAAATATGATGCAGTAAAAGTGCTACACTCAATTTGCCAGCAAATTTGGAAAACTCAACAGTGGCCACAGGATTGGAAAAGGTCAGTTTACATTCCAATTCCAAAGAAAGGCAATGCCAAAGAATGTTCAAACTATCGCACCATTGCACTCATTTCACATGCTGGTAAAGTTATGCTTAAAATCCTACAAGCTAGACTCCAGCAGTATATGGATTGACAACTACCAAAAGTACAAGTAGGATTTCAAAGAGGCAGAGGAACTAGAGATCAAATTGCCAACATACTCTGGATCATGGAAAAAGTTAGGGAGTTTCAGAAAAACATCTACTTCTGCTTCATTGACTATGCTAAAGCCTTTGATTGTGTGGATCACAACAAATTGTGGCAAGTTCTTAAAGAGATGGGAATATCAGACCATCTTATTTGTCTCTTGAGAAACCTATATGTGGGTCAAGAAGTACAGTGAGAACTGGACACGGAACCACTGATAGGTTCAAAATTGGGAAAGGAGTCCAGGAAGGCTGTATACTGTCACCCTGCCTATTTAACTTATATGCAGAGTACATCATGAGAAAGGCAAGGCTAGAAGAATCAAAAGTTGGAATTAAGATTGCCATGAGAAATATCAACAACGTAAGATATGCAAATGATACCACTCTAATGGCAGAAAGTGAAGAGGAACTAAAGAGCCTCTTGATGTGGGTGAAGAAGGAGAGTGCAAAAGTTGGCTTGAAGCTCAACATTAAGAAAACCAAGATCATGGCATCCAGTTCTCTCAATTCCTGGCAAATAGATGGGGAAGAAATGGAGGTAGTGACAGATTTTATCTTCCTAGGCTCCAAGATCACCACAGATGGGGACTGTAGCCAAGAAATTAAAAGATGCTTCCTCCTGGGGAGGAAAGCTATGGCAAATCTAGACAGCATACTAAAAAGCAGAGACATCATCCTGCCAACAAAAGTGCATATAGTCAAGGCCATGGTTTTCCCAGTTGTAATGTATGGCTGTGAAAGGTGGACCATAAGAAAGACTGAGCACCAAAGAATTGAGGACTTTGAACTATGGTGCTGGAGAAGATTCCTGCGAGTCCCTTGGACTACAAGACAATCAAACCGGTGGTCAGTCCTAGAGGAGATCAACCCTGACTGCTCTTTAGAAAGCCAGATCCTGAAGTTGAAACTCAAATACTTTGGCCACCTAACGAGAAGGAAGGACTTACTAAGAACCTAATGCTGGGAAAGATTGAGGGCAATAGAAGAAGGGGACGACAGAGAATGAGGTGGCTGGATGGAGTCACTGAAGCAGTAGGCGTGAGCTTAAATGGACTCCAGAAGATGGTAGAGGACAGGAAGGCCTGGAGGAATGTTGTCCATGGGGTCGCAATGAGTCGGACACAACTTGCAACTAACAACAACAGCAACACGTTACTCTAGTGCTTGTAGGAACAGCCCACTTTTACCAGGCCTTCTAGAAACACAGAGGGAAGGTGCTCAACAGGCTTTGTCCACAAATGCTTGCTAATGGTTTTTATTAGGGAATCTCTGGATAAATGTTCATTCAGACCAACTTTCTGATCTCAATAAACATAATTATTGTTGTGTTCAGAAACCAAGATATTATTACTCCTGATATATCAAAAACTTAGAACAGAAGTCCACTTAATAAAATAAATTGAAATATATATATTTACAGAATTAGTATCTTTCCTATAGTGTTCTCACATCTTTAAATGCATTACCAACAGGGGCTCATTGCTTCCTATCATCAGGACTCATTTATATTAGAATTTTCTTAAGAAATATATTTTGGTAGGACTGGTGATTCTTCAGGTGCCAGTTTAATTAGTTAGAATAATGATAGTTCTAAAAATGTAGAGAATTAAAAACTATTAGCTACCCAAGAAGAATGTATATAACCATGAACGCATGCTGAAATGCTATGATAGCCTTCATTTTAATTTTGTGACAGTGATCCATTTAATTGTGGGTAGGGTCTGAATACAGACTTCTCAAATGTATAGAGCCAATCATTCTCCTGCCAACCTCTATTTGTAAGTGCAAATAAAGACCACTATTTGTTTGTAAGATAACTTGTATTACAAAGAGTTCAGTGATAATTTTTAGCCAGTCTAGTAATGGAATGAGGGAACCTCTTCAGTCATAAATTCTGGATGTCATGAAAGAGCATGTATACCATCTTAAACTTCTGAAGGAGAAGAATATGAATGGAATCAATCAAGTAAATTTGGGGCAAGTTCTATAATATTAGGACATTATTGACATAATAATGAAGACTTTAAAATGAAATTAAACTCGGAGGAGAAGCTGAAGAATTGTTTGGGGGGGGGCACAGGCTTTCAGTCTATTTCCAAAGATTCCAACATCTGGATATGAAGAAACTGACTTTATTTTTGGGAAACAGCAGTACTGTAAAGTAGAACCTATCCAATGTTAATAGCAAAATCCCTAGTACCAGGATATTGCCTATTCATTTTTAGCATAACCCATGAACATTAATTTATGAAAATAGAATCCTTTTAATATTCACACATTGGACATTAGAGAACATTATACTACTGAATGAGAGAGACAAGCCCAGATATCCAAGGGAAATGATACAAAAGAAACCCCAGCATATGCAGGCACAGGACATAAACTCATACACTTATAAAAGCTGTATAATCATATATGAGCCAAAAATCATAAAAATATACGTGTATAAATACCAACAGCTGGAGCTAGAAAAGCAAACCTGGGAATTTTAAAGGAAAGTTTTAGGTTAACCAGCAATATATTGCTGTAAGACATTAAAATTGGGAAAGTGCTGATAGAGGCCTCTGACAGTGGCATTCGGCAAAAGCAACCAGAACCACTCATGAAGAATCTAACAGTAGTTTATTGCTAGTCAACTATGTTACAACAATCTCATTGGATTTAAAATGAATATAAAAATTAAACCATAGACCATTTGTTAAAGCTTAACTTAAAAAAAAAACTAACAAACCCTGGAACCTTGCTGTTGTGTATATTAACAGCAGCAAGAATGCTTTATGCACAAAAATGGAAAGACACTCTAATTTCTGCAATAAATGAATGGCTGATGAAATTAGTAGAGATGGCTAAATTAACTGCTCTAATTAAAGAAAAGAATAACAGAGTTGGAAGGGACCTTGGAGGTCTTCTAATCTAGCCTCCTGCTTAAGCAGAAGACATTATATCATTTCAGACAAATGGCTATCCAATCACTTTTTAAAAGCTTCCAGAGATGGAGCACTCATAACTTCTGAAGGCAACCTGATTCCACTGATTTATTGTTCTTACTGTCAGGAAATTTCTGCTAGTTCTTGATTAGTTTTCATCCTTTGCTTCTTGTCCTGTCTTCTGGTGTTTTGGATAATAGTTTGACTCCTTTTTTGTGGCAGCTCCTCAAATATTTTCTCATTCCTCTTTTCACTTCTTCATTTTTCCACTATTTTCATTTATATTTTATTATCTTGATAAGTTTAATAAAATTATTTTTTAAAAAAGAATTTCACCATCCCTTGGGTAATGCAAGTTAAGGCTTCGAGGATTCTGAAGGATGTTTGGCTTGTGCTGCTTACTGCAGTAAGCAAAGACCCTAAATTTGGGGCCCTCTGGTCCCTTTCTCTGGAGATTCCACATAGGTGAAGAGAGAATGATTCTAAGTATAAGTAAAGTGAATTGGCCCATCTTAATATAAGTAGAAGAGCTTGTAAGATGAAAATGAAGAAATCTGAAAGATAAATATCTGAGTGTCAAACTGTGCTGACAAGGTATTCTTGTTTGCATATGGAATGAATTTATTCTGGAGCAACATTTGAGTCTGCCTCTTATAAATGATCCATGTAACCTTTTTAATATTTCAAGATAGGTGGGACAGTTCTCCTTCTCTCTTCTCCCCCTCCAAAAAAGTTCCCTCCCTACAGTCCTCTTACTGAGATTGTTGAACAGATTTCCATGTTCTGACACCTTTCAGATTTGTTGAACTTCAAATTCCATGAGCTCAAGCCAGCCAACTAATTATATTTACCACAATATGTTGCTTTAATACTATTTAAATATTCCTGGACATTGTGGCAAATCCTAGATGTTGAGCCCATCCATTATAGCCACCAGATAGTACAGAGATGGACAGAGCAATATATAGAGATCACTTTGCTACAGTGACAGGAAATAAGTATGAGGGAAAGAACAGCAACCAAGCCTCTTCTTGAAATAGGTCATAAGATATATCTGACTTACTGAATTCCAAAACTGAGCCTATGGTATTTACATAGGACATACGTTCATATCAATTAAGTAATTACTCTGCCCACAGTCTGGAGTTCGATCCTGACCGGCTTAAGGTTGAGTTAGCCTTCCATTCTTCTGAGGTTGGTAAAATGAGCAATATGGACTCTGTTGGGAGCAATATGGACTCTGTAAACTGCCCAGAGAGTGCTGTAAAGCTCTGTGGGGTGGTATATAAGTCTAAGTGCTATTGCTATCCTACTACTTTCACCATATCTGATTTGTATGTCCTCACTATATGCATTCACTCTGTATTGCCACAGATTATGGTAGTTTTCTTTGTTCTTGTCTCAGTTCATGTATTAGAAGAGGAAAGATAACTGGATAGCAAAGAGGAGAAAGAGGAAGGCACTTTATATATTAATTTTGGGATTCCATCATGATGAAAACCTTGGCAGTTACTCAGTAATTCAAACTTGAGATGCCCAGGGTTAAAAAATAGTGGTACTTCACTATTTAATTTTAAAAATAAGAAAGAATTACTGATTTTACTGTGATAAATATTTTTCATCTCTGCATATATTTGCATAATTTACCTACTTTAAGTTACTCCACCAACATCAGACTTGGAACTGACACTCCATCTGAATCAGGAACTGAATAAGAAGTGAAACTGCAACTTTGCTGATTTTTAAAATCATCCTACAGTTAACTGTGGTGCTATGAGATAAAGGAACTATCATGTTTAAAACATTTATTAAAATATGACTGTATTAGTCTTCACAATATGAAGAATATTGTAATTTCTTCACAGAATATGCTAAACCAAGATTTTAAAGGAGCAGTGATTAAATAAATAACAATAATGTATTTACATTTTGTATATGATAAGCAGTCAAGATCCCAGATATTTGATTAAATATCAAGTCATCTTATTTTTAAACAAACAAATGAATAAATAACATTGGTTAAATCAAAATTCAGATTATTTTCTTCTGGATCGGCATAACTCCAAAAGAATGGCTATATTACTTTATCACAGGAAATGCATCTGTATTGTCTTACATTAACAAAATTTGGTAATTTGGTAAATGTCCTTTTCAAGGAGAGTTATTTCAGGGCTTCTACATCCAGATGCAAAAATCAAGATGGCCACTAGGTAGCAGCAGAGAGATGAAGAAAATGTTAACCCTTTGCTGCTATCATCATTGTCCAGATTTTCCCAATGTTACTAATGACATTGCTTACTTCCAAGTAAGAGTTTATAAGAAAGCATCCTAGTCAATATTAGAATACAAGTCTAAAATTCTGCTGCATTTATAAAAACATTTCTTCTTAGTATAATTTCAAAAGACTTGCCAAGAAGTGCAAAATACAAGCTGAAGCAGATATAAAAGCAGAATAATAAAATTTACCATTATAGGAAGAGGTCCTCAGATGATGTCAAAATCCTTTCTGCAGCTCATAAAGGGAGAAGAGCTATATTTGTGCTTTCCCCCAGACTCCTGGACTCAAAAGACAAGATGCCCAAACTTTTCTTTCTGGACAGTTTTTCCAAACTTAAATGAGATAAAAAACCTTCCATGATAGGCCAAAAGGCTCTCTCCCCCTCTTTCGTTTTAACCAAATATGGATCTTTTATGGGTGTTTGGAGCTACAATAGATAATGTTCTGACTGCCTACTCAGCAAAAGGAAGAAGACAATAATTAGTTGAAATTTTAGTTACAAAGAGAATCAGGGGGAAATGCAAGATAAAAGAAGAGTGAGATAAGGCTGAAGCGCATTCTAGATGAAGAACTCTCTACTTTTCTTCCAAAGGAAGATGCTGCTGTCCTTTTAAAACAGTTTGACTTTTTTCAAAAGAGTAAAGCTGCACTAAGGATATACTACCAACTTATCTCCTCTTTTGGGGGAAGGGGTTGCCATGGATATAGTGCTGAATGGTACAAAGCCCTTCAAATTTGCATTGCAAAGTAACAGAAAGGAAGGAAGGACACCCAACTTGGTGTTCTGAATGCAAAATGCTCCTGAAAGTTGCAAAGAGCTCCTGAAAGTTCCAGAGCTGGCAGGGACAAAGATGTACGGTAGTGCTACAAAAATATTCATCAAAAAGATCTCTAATCAAAACCACAATTGTATAGCTATTATATTAGTAATTAGTTATATTTGGATGCATACTTTCAGAATTAACTAACATTTCTCCCTGCATTTCACTAATTTCTAGTTAAATGTTGTTATCCAAAAATACAAAGGGGATTTCATAATGATCGAGGCTTTGCATTGTCTTTCTGAGACCAACCCCAGCTGACTGTTGAGAGTGTAGGGATGTGCAAAATCCACAGTTATTGCTAATGCTTTCTATTCCTAGATCTTACTGCAATTCTCTGTAGAAAATGCATTATTTAGATATCAGTTTAGCAGTCCAATCAGTTTTCTACCCTTCATTTATTTTTTACTTTCACTCTCTGATTCAAAACTTCAAAGGCTCATGTACATAGATTTTCATTCATGATTATCATGCATAATGGATTTCATTCTCTTACTTGTGCATTCACTTTTTTATTTAGTCTCACAAGAGATCATGATTCATCACTAGATTGGCAGTTTGAATGTAGAAAATCAACAGTAGCAATAGTTTTCATCTAATGATATAGTTGTGAGAAATAAACAATGAGATTTTATAAGTCTGGAATATATGAATAGGAGCATCTCTGTTATATACTTTCCAAAGTCACGGACTAAGAGAAAGATTGAACTTTGTGGTCACCAAATATGAAGGTTGGGAAATAAAAGAATATAAAGATATTTCAGTGGAAATGGATTTTGAGATTTACAAGAATGAATTTTACCATAAGACTGGCAACAAGGTTGATTAAAAAACCACTTGTGTAGTTCTTTCTTTCGTCAAAAATCCACAAAAAATTTAAAACAAAATAAATGGAAATTAACAACAACAACAATAATAATAATAACAACCTTTGAGGTCTTCTAGTCTAAGTTGGACCATAAGAAAGGATGAGCGCCAAAGAATTGAGGCCTTTGAACTATGGTGCTGGAGAAGACTCCTGCAAGTCCCTTGGACTGCAAGACAATCAAACCGGTCAGTCCTAGAGGAGATCAACCCTGACTGCTCTTTAGAAAGCCAGATCCTGAAGTTGAAACTCAAATACTTTGGCCACCTAATGAGAAGGAAGGACTCACTGGAGAAGAGCCTAATGTTGGGAAAGATTGAGGGAAATAGAAGAAGGGGACGACAGAGAATGAGGTGGCTGGATGGAGTCACTGAAGCAGTTGGCATAAGCTTAAATGGACTGTAGAAGATGGTAGAGGACAGGAAGGTCTGGAGAAATGTTGTCCATGGGGTCGCGATGGGTCGGACATGACTTCGCAACTAACAACAACAAGTCTAACCCCCTGCTCAGGCAGGAAACCCTATACTATTTCAGACAAATGGTTGTCCAGTATTGAAGAATTCAGAACTTCTGGAGGCAGGTTGATCCACTGATTAATTGTTCTAACTGTCAGGAGGTTTCTCCTTAGTTCTAGGTTGCTTCTCTCCTTGATTAGTTTTCATCCATTACTTCTAGTCCTGCCTTCAGGTGCTTTGGAGAATAGCTTGAATCCTTCTTCTTTGTAGCAGTCCCTGATATATTGTCACCTCTAGTCCTTCTCTTCATTAAACTAGAAATACCCAATTCCAGCAACCATTCTTTATATATTTTAGCCTCCAGTCCCCTAATCATCTTTGTTGCTCTTCTCTGTACTCTTTCTAGAGTCTCAACATCTTTTTTTACATCGTGGTGACCAAAACTAGATGTATGGCCTTACCAAGATGTTATAAAGTGGTATTAACACTTCACATGATCTTGATTCTATTCCTCTGTTAATGCAGCCTAGCACTGTGTTGGCTTTTGTGGCAGCTGCAGCACACTGCTGGCTCATATTTAAGTGATTGTCCACTAGGACTCTGAGATCCCTCTCACAGTTACTACTATTGAGTAAGGTACTACTTATACTGTACCTGTGCTTTTGGTTTTTCTTGCCTAAATGTAGAACCTTACTTTTTTCACCATTAAATTTTGTTTTGTTAGATAGCACCCAATATTCAAGTCTGTCAAGATCCGTCTGTACCTTAAGCCTATTTTCTATTCCTAGCCTATTCCTGCCAGTTTGGTATCATCTGCAAATTTGATGAGTTCCCCATCTATCCCCTCATCCAAATCATTGATGAAGATGTTGGAGCACTGGGCCCAGAACAGAGCCCTGGGGCTCTTCATTACCCACTTCCCTCCATGTAGATGCAGTTCCATTGAGGACCACACACTGAGTATGGCCAGTCAGCCAGCTACAAATCCATCTGGTGGTGATGCTGTCTAACCCACATTTTTTAATCTTTCAAATAGTAGGTTGTGGTCTACTTTATTAAATGCCTTATTGAAGTCCAAGTAAATTATATCCACAGCATTCCTCTGGTCCATTAATTTTGTCACCTGGTCAAAGAATGCAATAAGATTTTTGTCTGGCATGATCTGTTTTTGACAAACCCATGTTGGCTTTTGGTTATGACTTTGTTTGCCTCTAGTTGTTTGCTGATTCCTTGCTTGATTATCTTTTCCAGAATCTTCCCAGGTATTGAGGTCAGGCTGATAGGTCTATAGTTTCCTGGATCCATTTTATTTTCCTTTTTTGAAGATGGGAACTACATCAGCTCTTTTCCAGTCCTCTGATAGTTCCCCAGTGCTCCAGGATGTTTGAAAAATATAATTCAATGGTTCTGAGATCACATCTGCCAGTTCCTTCAGAACCTTGGGGTGTAATCCATCTGGTCCTGGTGATTTGAACTCATCTAGGGTGAACAGGTACTCGTTTAGAGTTAACAGGTGCTCACTTACCATTTTCTTGCCTATCTTAACTTGTGTTTCTAATCTTTTTTTATGGTACTGTTATTGATAGGTTGGTCTTTGCCTCTGTCTTTGTGTAAAGACAGAGGCAAAAAAAAACAAAAAACCAAGTTAAGTAGTTCTGCTTTCTCCCTGTTGCTTGTCATTTTCTTGCCATTTTCTCCCACTAACGGACCAATCATTTCCTTAATTTTTTTCTTGTTTTTTACATGTTGAAATAAACTTTGTTGTTGTTGTTGTTGTTTTTGACTTTTATTGCAAGCCTTAGTTCATTTTGAGCCTTAGTTTTCCTCATTTCATCTTTTGTAGGCTCAGGCTATTTGCCGATATTGTGCCTTAATTATGTGCTCCTATTTCCACTTTTTATACTTGTCCTTTTTGTCTTTCAATTTATCAGAGAGTTCTTTATGCAGCCATGCTGGTTTCTTTTGAGAGCTGTTATTCTTTTTCTTTGTTGGTATTGTGCTAGACTAGGCTTTTATAATCTCACTTTTCAAAATTTCCCAAGTTTCTTGAGTTGTTTTCCCCTTGAGGATTCTCATCCATGGAATCCTTCCCAAGCTCTCTCTAAGATTATTGAAATTAGCTCTCTTAAAGTCCAAGACTCTAGGCTAACTATGTTCTATTGCTTGTGCTTGCATAATGTTAAATTCCAATATTGCATGATCACCCCCCCCCCAAGGTTCCTGTGGCTTCAAACCTTTTATCAAATACCTAGTTTAGGTGTTTGAAATGTTTGCTGAAAAATTATATACATTATACTTTCAACCATTCTTATTTAATTTGATTGCAATGAAACAGTTCTGGACATTTTATCTCACAGAGGAGAAAATAATATTCATGGTTGGGAGTGCTTATCCCAGTTTTAAGAGAACTAAGCTGTATAAAAGGTTGTTTTGTCTTTCACTCCAGACTTCCAAAGTCTGTTGATCCTCTGGCTTCCCAAATTTCGACTGCATCTCATAGGATTCCCCAATGGGAATTTTTTGGATCAGAATATGTAGATACCCCAAGAAAATGGCTTAATGATGGAAATCTGTATGGCAGAAAACAGTTATATTCTCTGCCCACTCAGTTTAGTTAGTCTAGTTTATTACAGTCAAAGAATAAAACAATTTAAAAGTAAAATAATAGGAAAAAAACAAAGATTGAAATAAAGCATAATCTGACTAAAATAATATATCAAAACCCATAAAAATCATTGTAAAATGAATACAATCAGATTCATTTGTAACAATCATTTGTTTTCCTTTGTAACCAGGATACAATATCTGGCTGTTAGGAGGCTGAGGTAGTTATATTGGTACAGCAATATATGACTCATGATTTTGGTCACCTCCTTTCCATATGGGCAGAGACACTGCTCTTTAGGAACACTGTGAAATCTGTCTTTCAAAAGAGCAGTTGGAAAAGTATTATGATGGATCAATATAAAAAGCCCTTATTTTTAAGTATAATGTTTTATCAAATTATAGATGTGAACAATGTTTATCTGGATTTGCAGGGGTGAAGCAAGATGGAATCTGGCTGAAATAATTTTGCAAGTCAATATTGAATATTGAAAAGAATCGAGCTGGAATGGATCTTGGAGGTCCTCCAATCCAGCCCCCTGCTCGAACAGGAGAACCTATATGATCTCAGACAAGTGACTATCTAGTCTCTTCTTAAAAACCTCCAATGATGGAGGGCCCATGATTTCTGGAGGCAAGCTGTTCCACTGGTTAATTTCCTCACTATTAGGAAGTTTCTATTTAATTCCAGGTTGCTTCTCTCTTTGGTCAGTTTCCAACCTTTGTTGGAATATCTCTGACACATTGATTAGAGAGTGATTTGGCCTGTTCAAACTGCAAAGATCAATATATTAGGGAGAATCAAAATATTAGGAAAGAGTCCACAGTTCCTTAAGGTGGATCAAAGTGTTTTCCATCAAGAAGGCTGACATTTATTTTGG